CCAACTAGTACAAACCATCTGAATTGTCCCACTTCTGAATGCTAGGACGTTTAACTCAGAGCTTTCCTTCTAGTGCGCAACAGCTACACACCATGTCCACAATATTCTCCCTAAAACGCCGGATTACGCTGTCCCGTTCCGACAGAGCTGGGCCTTAGACCCACACGGGTTAGGCGACTTTACTGCAGCATTGATCTCTTCCATGTTCTTCTTTTCACATCACTCTTATACCACAAAACAATACTAACGTAACACCTCGCGTTAAAGCGGAAACCCACAGACTTTGTGAACGAATAAACTACATTAGTGAATACCCAGCCATTCAATGTACTTGCACTACTTGAGATTGCTCTTGTACGTGGTTGCCTTATCTTAAGGCTTAATTTCAGCTTCCAATCGGTTAGGACACGGGCAGTAGGTGTGAATTATGATGTCTCCTAAGAGTAGTATAATTAAGAGATATAATAAAGAAATAATGGAAAGAAACATCAAAGGTAATATAGTACAGCGTGTTTGATAAGTGGGCGCCGCCCTTTTCCCTCTTGTATTTAACCGTTCATCTGATGGTCACTAAAGCCACTACTCTGCTGATTTCGAGAGATATTGCGAGAACAAGATTATCACCCTCTGTATGCCTCCTCATGAATATAGCCTACTCCGAACTTGGGATGTTGTGTGCTTTGGACCACTTTAACAGGCTGATGGTCGAGAAATAGAACATCTGATCAGATGGTCTATAACCCATATTTCCAATACTGAGATCTTTCTGGCCTTTTATACTGCATTTAAGGTCACCTTTACAGAAATCAACATACGAGGAGGTTCTAGAGGGGCTGGCCATGCCCCTTGTAACCCGGAAAATATAGTCTTAAACCTTGATGTACAGTTACGGACTCCAAAACCACCTAGCGAGGCCACCCAACCATCAACACCATGGGCTTCAAAAACCCACAAGTTAGTCCTTGAGACTTAATCTTAGTCTAAACACGTTAGTAAATGAATTAGGAGCCATTATAGTAGCTCTCTAGAGTCAATATTAGGAGCCTTGGCATCTGTTGCAATAGGAACAACGGAAATAATCCATAAGGATATTGAGGTCCGGAATCTTCGGGATGCAAATGAGGTATCAAGCCGGCGCGGTAAGGCCTTTCATAATTCAGTCACGCTAGAACTGGGATGACTAAAAACCCGGCTCTTGATTTGAATGCCAGGACATGATCTAGTAGCCCTTGATTTATTTAGCTTAGGCCTTCATAAATATGTAGCTACCCTGTAGCATTACACTTGTGTGATAAGTGCATAACATTCGTCAGCCTAACACGTAATTCGGCTACCGAGGTATGACATAAAGCAGCCTACTATGCATGAACCAATCGCAAACGGATCACTTCGTAACAGGGTCACGATGGTCCAGGAGAAACCGTGTTCCACGATTTCTGTGATGCAGTATTCCACTAAGTATGTAGGACACATTTAGTTGCACTTTTGTAGATTCTAGTTCACCAGCTGAAAATGGAATTCCATTACAAGAAAAAGCCAAACACACATTAATTGTTGGCTACGCTCAGTTTAAGCTATCCAAATATACCAACATATATTTAAAGGTAGCAATGAGCCAATCGGCGACTTGGGATGGCGTCAACAAGAAGCATAGGCACTATGTTCTCAATTTCTTGGTGAGCTTGGCATCACGGACGGTTGCGACGCGTCGACCACGCCGATTAGCAGGTCACGGATGCGTCCGGTGAGCAAGACGAGCTGATTATCTACTTCAGGCTTAGCCGGTCGCTTTGTATCACGGTCTGGAGGGGCCTTGCTGGGCAACTTCCCGGGCTGTGACACTTCTCACGCAGATCAATCTGATCCTTGCTAAGGTGTCGGCGGCGATGAGGAACGACATCAGGGTTAGGCTCATATCAGCCGTCGAGCTGATCCTGCTGCTCAGGCTGAAAGGAGGCTCAATAAGGCCGGCAGCTGCAGATATCGATGGGGAAGGAAGAGATGTTGAAAACCATATCAGCGTTTAGCCACCAGTAATAACTAAGGTTTGGCAGCTGTAAAGATCGATTCGCC